AGGTTGACACCTAAAATTTTTAAATCATACGTTTAAGTAGTTTCAAAGGATATATTTTCTAGTGTTTTTTACATTGTGAACACACCTTAAATGTATTTTTTTTTGTTGTTGTTGAAAACAGATTTAGTTCATGGAAAGTGATCTCTGTATAACCTAGGTGGCAAAGCCAGTCCTATCAGACAAATCATACTTTCTGTCAGGAAAAGCTGGACTTCATATTTCAGTTCAAATAATGGTGTTAAAATATATCCTGGGGACATCTCTCTCACTTCTGGTTCTCAATCCAAAAGCGACAGGGAGGGAGAGGGGGAGGGAGGAAGAGAGGGGAGTGTGGGAGGTAGATGAAGGGATGGATAGATGGATGGATGGGTGGGTGGTGGATGGATGGGTGGGTGGTAGATGGATAGATGGATGGATGGGTGGGTGGATAGATGGATGGATGGATGTGTGGGTGGTGGATGGGTGGATGGATGGATGGATGGAGGGATGGATAGAGGGATGAATGGGTGGGTGGTAGATAGATGGATGGATGGGTGGGTGGGTGGATGGAGAGGCTTGTTGTCTGGATAAGATGAAGTATCTCTCTTTTCAGTATTTTTCATGGAAGCCTCCAGGCTGGACATGTTAGAGATTCCTACTCAGAAGCAGGCACTCTCAACCAGATTTTTCTACCCGGGGGGAAAGGCCCACATAGTGAGTCCAGCAATCATTTTGTAAAGTGGGAGCAGAAAGATTGAGGGAGAGGCAGGGCAGGTAATCAAGTAGAACCCTCATCCCTCAGGCACTTTCTCAGGCAGATTGGTTTTAGAACAGATACGTCTGGAAGCTGAGACCCTGGACACCGAGGCCATTAAAACTATTCAGGGGCTGGCCCTGTGGCCTAGTGGTTAAGTTCAGTGCATTCCACTCCGGTGGCCTGGGCTCGGTTCCCGGGCTTGGACCTACGTCACTCGTTGGTGGCCACGCTGAGGCAGTGATGCACATACAACATAGAGGAAGACGGGCACAGATGTCAGCTCAGGGCGGATCTTCCTCAGCAAAAACAAAAACAAACTATCCACACACTGCTGACCATGGGTGGGGGACTGTGGGACCAGGGCCTTTCCCTCTGCCCTTCCGCAGCCCCTGGTGGGTGTTTGCAAAGACAACTCAGCGAGCAGACTTTCCAAAGCTACAGGGAAAACGGTGGAAAAGTCACTGTCACCATTGCCAGAAAGAGTGATTCATGCCTTTCTTCTTTTCTTAACCTTCCGCTTTGTCTTCATACTGATGTGGGGTCGGTGAGCCGAGGAGTCGAAAGAAAGATTTCTTGGGCTCTCAAGATCTGGCAGTAGTGCTCTTTTATTCAGAGAATAGTGTGGAATAGCATGGGGACAGGACACACGGGCAGTCAGAGCTGCTGCTGCCAAAATGAGTGGAGGGTAGGGCTAAATTTAAGGCATAGGTTTGTGAGTTATCTCTTTACAAGACAAAGGAAAGAATATGTAAAAAGAGTTGTTAAAATGGTACCAGTGCCAGTAGGGTCTGGTTATTGGGTGGTCCTATAACTTTTAGATAAGAATCAAACCGGATTGAGTAAATGGCAGAAGCCACCACTTAAATATTTTCAGCTAAAGACAAAGGAGGATGTTGGGGGGGTCAGTTACATGAGGTTGCCAGACAGTAAACAACTTAAGTTCTTGCCTTTGGCATTGATTAAGAGTTTCTAGAGATAAAGCCATCCCCCTTCTTCCTGGCACAGAGAGGAGGCATCTTCACAGATAGAGGTTTCCCTTACAAATGTAAATATTTCCCAACAAAGGGCAAGCAGATTCCACTCCTCAGAGCCTGCTTCTCACCTGTAGTTTTAAAATTAACCAGCCTAAAATCCTTAAAAATCCTCATCAATACCATATCCTGTGTGGCCTTCTCTTCCTGAGTCTTTGCTAAACTTCTTAGGCTTAACATATTGGCCTCGACAATATCGAGCAGCTGAATCAGCTGTTTACCTCCCTGTAACTCTGGCACCTGGCTCTGTGTGCTTTTCTGGAATTCACAAGATGGGGACCTCTGCCCTCAGCTCCATTGATAGTCACAGAAGAAACACCAAGGAGACGCCCTTGCTGCGCTGAGAGGTGCCTGTCAGTGGACTGAACCAAATGTGCTTTCTCGAACCCAAGGAACTTTCCAACCAAAACTGTTGACATACTAAGCATTTGTAAGTTTTTGGTGTTATAATCTTGACCGTAATTATTTTGACTGTCTCTCTTATTGAGATGTATTGAGATAAAAAAGAAAATGTAAATCAAACTTCTCTTAAAGTTCCATTAATATTGTAAATGTTCTCAAATATTAGTTACTGAAGGATGGAATAAAATACTACATTACTATAAATAATACCCAGCTGGGCATGCCCACTCGCCGTCTGGAAGGTCTCGGCGGACCCCAGAGCCACCCGTTGGAAGACCTGCTGTCGAGTGGCCACCAGCCAACTCCAGTTCTCACAACAAATAGGCCTTGATTGGCCCACTGAACCCAGGGCCCCAGGCTCAAATCTTTTCACCTTTCTGTCTCCTGGTGCTTGTGTGTTGAGTCAGGATTCTAACAGGCTCCACACCCACCGCATTCGATTAATATAAATGATACGTCGTTTAAGTCTCTTTAAGTGATTAAAGGTTTGTGGAAGACGCCGTGAGCGGGGCCATATTACAGCAGAGCTGCGGCAGCCTTCTCAGGGTGACTGTCCTGCGCGGCATGCTTCGTCTTCCAAACCGGACCGAAGCGCCGACATTCCGAGAAGTCAGTGAGAACAAGAATATCCTGTTCGTAAGGACTGATGCATTTCCCCGAAAGTGTAACTCATATGCAAGGTTGATACTTTTTTCCTCTGCCACTTGTTGCTGCCATTTGATTTTAATTTTTTTCATTTAAGTGATTTTATTAATAGTGCCGGGGAGGTAGAAGGGATTTTTTTAAAAGACTAAATACTCTTGGCGTATTCCACATACACGGACTGGACGCGCCCACCCCCGAGATCGAGGCCTCGCTGCTTGTTAGCGGTACAACCTTGAGCAAGTCGGCCTCCATCAGAGCCTCGTGCGCCCGCGGAGGGAGCCCGGCAGCCCGGAACGCCAGCATCTCCATCTCAGCACAGCCCTGAGCTCCTGGCCCACCTTCCTAACTGGAGAAGGTCCAGGAAGCATTTAGGGGTACAGTGAGCTCCGCCCGAGTCTGATTGGCAAGAGGAGTTTGCCTACTCACTCGTTCCTTCAGTCAGCACGAGGGCCTAGCCTGTCCTCGCCAGAAGTCTAGGTACAGGAGATACGTTGGTGAGCAAGAAAGAAAGATTCCTGCCCGTATGGGGTTATATTCTCTATTCTAGTGGGGAAGTGGGAGAGAGACACAATAAGGAAACAGAATTGAATTAAATGGATACCTTCAGATTCTGACAACAGATCATGCTAATCTTCAGATTATGACACCAAATAAAGAGGGTGATGTGATGAGAGTAATGGGATGGCGTGTGTGTGTGTGTGTGTGTGTGTGTCTCCTTTAGAAAGGAAAGAGTGGTTGGGAGGCATCTTAGAGGAGTTAACATGTGACCTGCAACCTGAGAAGAAGTCAGCCATGAAGGGAAAGTAACTCTGGAGGAAACAGCTGGTGCAAAGGCCCTGAGGTGGGAATGTCAGTGTTTTCTGAGGAGCGGAAAGGAGAGGGTTGAGTTATGACCAAGACAATGTCAGAGGGGAGTCAGGACGGGATGAGGAGGTGGAACTTTACTATCCCTGAAAAGGGAAGCCACTGAAAGGCATTAGTGGGGCGCAGGATGGCACAGGGGCCAGAGGGGAGGCCAGGAGACCAGTGGGAGCTGAGGGGGCTCAGACTGGGTTGGAGCCACGGAGAGGGAGAGGAGAGGACAGGTTCAAGGGTCTGGGCGGGATTAGCTGCGAGGACTGAAGCAAAGTGGGGAATCAGGGATGAGCCCCCGGGCTACGGGCTGGGTAAGGAGGCTGTCCTTATTGAGAGTCAGGCCCCTGGGGTGGGCGGTGGGCGGCACGCCCCGCTCAGGTGGCCGCCGCAAGGGGAGGCCCGCGATCGATCGCTCCGGGGTGAGGGGTGGGAGTGCGGTCGACAGGCGATTGGCGCCGTCGAGTCCTCAAGAGGAGGGAGGAGCCTCGGGAGGCGCGGAGTCGGCGCGGCCTCCTTCCGGGCGCTCGCGTCTGCAGCCCGGCGGGACCCTTCCCCAGGTGAGGCTGGCCCGGGGTCGGGGGAGGCGGTTCCAGGATCCAGGCTGCTCGGGCCGGGCCCCGCGTGTTCCTGCCGCACCTCCCCCGAAGCTCGGGCCTTCCCAGAGCGGTGCCCGGGGGGCTGGAGGCAGGGCCGGGCCGGGGGTCCGCTGAGGCCGGGGGCTGCGGGTCGGTGGGCGCCTTGGGGCGGGGCCCCCCGTTTCCTCCCGTGCCGCCTTGAACTTCGCCTGCAGCCCTCTCCCTCGGAGTTTCTCTGTCTGAGCGGGAAACAAACCGGGAAGTAGGGACTTTTTGCTGCATTTCACTCATTGTTAGGAAAGCTGATTGCGTCTCAGACGACAGGAGGAACACGCGTTTACTGCCAAAATGTCGGAGAAAATGGCCCCCAGGCCCGGGCGCTCTGCCCCTCGGCGGCCCCGGGGCCTTCCCTTCCCGCGGCGCTGTCCGCAGTCCATCACCTCGCGTGTCTGTCCATCCTCACTTCTGTGATCACATAAATTTAGCAAACACAGAGCTAAAGCGCCTTTTTTCCCGTGTATAAGATGGGGTCCTTTTCTACGCATTAAACCCTAAATTTGGATTCTCTACTGTGCTTGAACTGCAGGCGGGGAGACGCCGCCGTCCGGGGGCCCGAGTCCCGCCCCGCGGAGAGCCAGCCCCTCGCCTTCAGGGACCGCCAGCGGGAGGGCAGTGCGGCCCGGTGCGCAGCGCTGGGCTCGGGACGTGCAGGGCGAGCGTGCGCGTGCGCGAACCAGGTGCGGCTCTTTAGGGCGAATGAGGGAGCTGAGTTTAGGCTCGATGGGGAGTGTCCTGCAGCACCTAATCCAGGGTGGGGCTCCCTAACGCGCCCTTTGTTAGTCTGACCGTATTAGCAGCATCCAGGACTTTCTCAGCACCAGAAAACACAGGTATTTTCAGGTCACGTTACAGTTATTTGCGGGGTCATGAAACGGAATTTTACACTCCACGGCAGGATTTAAAAGGTAGTGTAGACCTGCCACTCAATCTTGTTAATAGGTTAAGGAGCTCACATATTCTGTGTCTCAGATTTATTGTTTTGATAACTTTATCAAATGCTAAATTCCAGTCAGAGATTAATGAAAATAAACGTGGTCTCTTTCCCACCCAACACCCTGGACACCCTGAAACTGGTCCACTCTGGGTTCAGAATCCCTAATCGAGGTGGGGAGTGGGGCAAACTTGGCAAGTCTCAGGTCAGGCTTGACCGCCTGCGGAGGGGGTTAGCAGAGGAAGGCTCGGGGGTCTTAATCCCAGCAGCGATGAGCTCCGGTTCCTGTTTGAAGACACTCACTCTAATGGGAGGGGGAATATGGGAGAAGGGAACCAGCTATTGAGGGCGGGAAGCGTTGAGCAGTTCACACCCCCAGGGCATTGCGGGGTGGAGGGTAGATAAATTCCCCCCTTATCTCCTGGACAAAAAAAAAGGCTTGTCTTGATTTGCATGTCCTTGGTTTGTGATGCCATCTTTTCATTTGTTTATTGTCTACTTACCTCTCCTATGTGGTGGATAAACTTTTCCAAACAGGCAGCCTGCCCTTGGTGTGTGCTTCTTTTCTGAATTTGCTGGTGGTATCGTGAACTTCCTTTGAGCTAGAGAAAGACCAGTTAATACTCCGCACTGCCTTCTCTGTGGCCACCAGAGTTGGGGCGGGGGGAGGGGGTCTCTCCGCCACTTGCAGGTACTTGGGCTTTTTCTGAGTGCAGGGGGAGGAGAATAAAGGGACATACTAAGTTTAAGATACGTTTTTTTTTTAATGGCATATTTTTCACATTTTAATTACCCCAAAGGTTCTAACAATTCCCAGTGCTCCTTTCAAGGCGGAGAGGACGCATGTCTGTCTAGCACTGGCTGTAATCCGCTTTTTCAAACGCTCGAGTCTGTTTCGGTTTGCATTCCCCTGACCAATCGAGTTGAGGAGCATGTCGTCCACGTTTCCTGTCCATTCTCCTTCCTGTGGTTTCGTGTGTATTTACAACAATGGGATTGTACTCTGTGCACTTTCTGCAACATGTTTTTCCCTTTACTGTATCAAGGACGTCCCTAACCAGTGCGTGATGTCTCTGTCTCTGACACGCGTCCTCTGCTAGCTACCTCCAGCTCCACAGGGCACAGACCTTCGCTGGTTCTGTCTCTCAAAACCAGAAACCAGTTTAAGAGGTAAAGTGTTTATTTGGGATCAAGGAATTGCAGTTCTGGGAGCACAGATTCAGGTGGAAGCCCCAGTACTGTCCATTTAGGGAGTAAAAGTTAGAGGCTTTTAAAGGCAAAGAAGAGAGGTTTTATTACAAAGAATTGTGGACGAAAATAATCCATAACCAATCTATAAATGAAAATTTGAGTGAGTTTATTCTGAGCTGAAATCTGAGGACCATGGCCTGGGGCCTTTCTTCCCGAAGGAAGAAAGGGCACCAAGGAAGTGAGGTGTACAGAGTGGTTATATAACCCCATATAGGACGTTTCACATATGATTGAAATGTCCCTCCCACAATAGTCACAAGATTGCCCTGTCGGCACAGCGCTTGCTGGACACAGCAGGTAGTGGGACTGCTGTCTCGGTGGGCGGTGGGCGTAGCAGGAGGCAAGTCTATTGTCTTGAGCTGGGTGGTCACAGGTGAGTGCAGCAATCAGTTCGTAGCCTAAGGAAAGATGTTTAATTCTTAAGGGGAATGCCAACGTTGGGAGGTGGAGGGAAGTTGCACCTTTATCTCAAGGGCCTTTGTTCTTGCCATAGGGAATATCTAAAGCAGACATACAATGCATGCTCAACAGCCACGGTCAGACCCTTTTGGAAAGACAAGGTCAGGCCGAATTAGGTTTATACCAAATGGCTTCCTCATATTCTCCAATATATCCTATTGCTTGCCATTTTTATTTGTCAGAATTTTAATTGAAGTTGGAGCCAGAAAGCTAAACATTGACTGACTTGATTCTATCTTCAGAAAGTCCTGGGGCTGGCCCTGTGGCCAAGTGGTTAAGTTCATGTGCTCTACTTTGGTGGCCCAGGGTTTCGCCGGTTCAAATCCTGGGCGTGGACATGGCACCACTCATTAGGTCATGCTGAGGCAGCGTCCCACATGCCACAACTGGAAGGACCCACAACTAAAAATATACAACTATGTACTGGGGGGCTTTGGGGAGAAAAAGGAAAAATAAAATCTTTGTGGGGGGGGGAAAGGCAGAAAGTCCTCAGTCTTGGTGATCAGCATGTCTTTGCGCCTGCTGACTTCTCAAACAACGGCTGGCATCTGGGCGGAGGAAGATCCCCTTTCTACCCTTTCCGTGTTCCTGTGGGTGGACTAATCATAAAATTGACAAAAGACCAGACTAACAGGAGGAAAACCCGGGTTAATACAAACGTGTTGGAGATCATAGAGCAATGAAGCTCAAGGGAGTAAACAAAGCAGGCCGTACATGTAGATCTTTGACATAGAGAAACGGTGATTTGTGAAGAATTGACAGGACCAAGAAACTTAGGTTTGGGTATGTAAATAGTGAGGGGTTTAAGCAAAGTTTAGGCTTGAGGTGGTAAATTAAATTAGCGAGGTTTGTTGTGCAGTGTCTTGGCCCTCTGTCACCACCTCTGGTAACGAGGATGCCGGGAGAGCACCTGTCACACGGGAGTTCATTTCCTGCTTTCAGGGCAACAGAGACAGGAGACTCAGATGCCCCTTTTGCTTCTCATGTCGCTTTAATTCAAAATAATTGATAGGCTATTCTGGGGTATTTTGGAGTGGCCTGCCCTGGGCCCCAGTACTAGTAAAACAATTGCCATTTGGGCCCTGTCCAAAGGTTCGGCCCAGTCCAAGGTTCAAGACATGGCAGTTTTTCTGGAAGGGCAGCTCTAACTCCATTTTAAAATGTCTCCAACTATGGTCAACTTTATTATTATTATTTTTTTTTTTTTTTTGAGGAAGGTTAGCTCTGAGGTAACATCTGCCACCAATCCTCCTCTCTTTGCTGAGGACGACTGGCCCTGAGCTAACATCCGTGCTCATCTTCCTCCACTTTACATGTGGGACGCCTGCCACAGCATGGCTTGGCAAGCAGTGCCCTGTCTGCAACCGGGATCTGAACCAACGAACCCCGGGCCCCCGAAGCGGAACGTGCAAACTTAACTGCTGCACCACCGGGCCCGCCCCCTTGCCTATTTTTTTAATCAGGTTGTTTGTTTTCTTATTAGTAAGTTTTAAGATTTCTGTGTATATTTTGAGTAACAGTCCTTTATCAGATGTGTCTTTTGCAAATATTTTCTCCTGCTTTCTGGCTTGTCTTCTCATTTAATGAGCCTCATGCTGATTTGATTTTTCTTTCTGGAATGTTTGTTAACTATGGAATTGACCACCTATGAGCAGATGATTCACAAATGTCTATCTGCAGAACAGAAACTAGCTCGGGTTCTAAACTCATTTATCCCATTCTCTAATTATCTCAAGAGCACCTCAGACTCACTATGTGAAACAAAATTTGTGCTCTTCCTTTAAAACCTGGTTCTTTCTTGGTCTTTTCTGTTTTGGCCTATAGCAAGCATGACCATTCATCCAGTCGGGAAGCAAGATTACCAGAGCCCTCCCTTTCCTGCCTTTCTCTGTGTCTTACCCTCAGCAGGTGGTGGCTCCAGCCTTGCACACAGGGTTTCTTCTCCGTGGAATGTACTTCTTTCCATTCTTTGCTGTAACTGCTGCTCATTTCTCAGGTCCAGTTTGAGCCACTTCCCCAGGGAAGCCTTCCTGGATCCCCCTGAATGCATCAGATAACCCCTAGTGTAGGCACTCATGACTTCACCCTCACCTTGTAAGTTGGCGCAGTTGCAGTTGTGTGTTTGTTTCTCCCTAGATGTTAGCCCCCTTGAGGGCAGGTCCCATGTCTGTTTTTGCTCAGTGTGTTTTTTCTACTGGCATCTGGCACAGTAACTAGCCGATAGTCTGTGCTCAATAAATGTGAATATCTGGGAATTTGTAAGGTTTGTGCCTTTACAAGATTGGCCGGGATATATGTAGATGTATATGCATCTTTTATTAACCTTGCACCAGATCTGGTGATTTTTTTCAATCAAATGACTAGAGTCCAGGGAGGTTTTCTATTACCAGGTTATATGTTTTTTTTTTTCTTTTTGCTTGAGGAAGATTGTCGCTGAGCTAACATCTGTGTCAATCTTGCTCTATTTTTTGTATGTGGGACGCCGCCACAGCATGGCTTTGTGAGCAGTGTATAGGTCTGTGCCCAGGATCTGAACCTGCAAACCCCAGGCCACCAAAGTGGAACATGGAAATGTAACCACTATGACACCAGGCTGGCCCCTATATTATGTGTTTCTTATCCTCCTTCCATTTGCTGCCTGGGAGCTTTTCTGGTTCTGTTCCTCAAAGCTACGGTCAGTGCTTGTGAGCTCCATTTCCTGTTTCTCTTCTGTTATCTGCTTCCATAATGGCTGCTGGCTTCGATTATTTACCCTAGTCTCCTTCCCTTGCGTCACTGAATCTCCTTAACAGGGGTGTAATTTTTCTTTTTGTACCTGCAAGCTGAAGCAGTTTGGGTCTTGAGAGTGGTGAGGAGTCAGCCAGTGGTAGCACTGTTAGGACATCAGCAGGAAACTCAACTGGCAGAACGTACATACTGACAGGCTCTGCCGAGGGAATGATTCAGGAACTGGCTTCCCAGCTGTTGTCCAGAGTGCATGTCACACTTTCCCACTCCTCATCCCGTCAACTGAGTGAGGAAGGAAAGAGGGTTGTCTCTCACTTCCCACCATGCAAGGTCAGGCAGTTATGCAGTATGGTGGAATGAAGAAAAGCAAAAACGGGCAACTCAGTGAGGCTCCTTAAGCAGAGGTGGGGCCCTTGTGAGGTGGGAGGAGGCATGGAGTTCAGTGCTGCTCCCCTCAGGATATGGCTTAACATTTGCACTCTGGAAAATAATATTCTGAGTTGACTTGACAGCTGGTTTTGAGAAAAAGTCTTAATGTTAACTATCTGCAATCATAAAAAGGACTTCTGTTTTACCACTTTGTGTCAGTTTCCATTCATGTCACCTTAGACTTTGAAAACTTGATATGGTACACTTTTTAAAAAAAAAAAATACTGTTTTTCTTGTAATTAATATACTTAATACAGAGAGCATGATAGCAAAGTTAATAGTATGAAAAATCAGCCAATCTCCACCATTTTTATTCATCTACTGTTTGGTTGATGAACTACATTTAAGTCTTTACTTGAATGTGGTTTTAATGATAATGTGTGAATTTGGAGTTCTGATACTTTTGCTTTGTTTTAGTGTACATGTACGGTCTTCTTAGTGACCTTTTATATTAAATTGTTATGGCATACACATAGCATAGTTTACTTAGTAACCAAGCTTACATTCTTGATTTGAGTTTCTCAAGATAAAGAATTCTTCAGTAAACAGTTTTTCTTTTTTTTATATTTCAGAGGATATATTTTTTTAAGGTTTTTGAGTTTGGGAAGTCTAGCAGGCCTGAAGAACAAAAATTACTCTTCAGGGAAAGAAAGCAATCCAGTCTTAACAATATATCCACAATGTTCAGTGTACAATCAAAAATTGCTAGACGTGCAAAGAAACAGCAAAATATCACACGTGTAGAAAGAAATCAGTTGATTGAAACTGACCAGGAGATGGCCCAGATATTGGATTTAAAATACAAAGACATATCAACGGCTATTATGAAGAATTGTGAAGTCTTGATGGAAAAACTGGAGTTAATGATTGAAGAGAGAAAGGAATCTCTTAAAAACGACCTAAAGGAAATTTCAGGTGTAAAAAGTACAATATCTGACATGAAAAATCCAAAGAAATCCAGTACCAGAAGAGACTGGGAACGAATGAAAGATTTAGCCTCACAAAAAACAGGGTTGTTAGAGAAGCTTAGAGAAAACTCTAAAATAGTTGAGGATGTTGAAAATTTGACCTTTAAAAGAAAAGGAATAAACAAGCCAAGTAGCAAATTAGACAAAGCTAAAGAGTACAGTACTAACCAAGGTAAGAAATTGTCCCCAAATGAATCACAAAATCACAAAGTCATGGAAAGTTTTGAAGAAGCCATATGCATTATTGATGACCGTTGTAGAAACTGCAACAGCCGTATAGAAGTTACGGTTAGAGAGAATCGAGAGGACGAACTAGTCGAAGAAGTGAGAGAGGAAAAAATCCCTCAGAACTTCAAGACTAAAGAGAAAATTCTAAAAGTCGACAGAGAAGATGAAGCAGCAGGACTCACACTGGCAGCAGACTTTTCATCAGCAACACTGGACGTCCGTAAGCGATGGAGTGATGTCTTCAACATCCTGAGGGAAAATGATTTTGAGCCTAAATTTCTGTGCCGAGTTAAATTAGCATTTAAATGTGATGGTGAAATAAGGACCTTTTCAGACATGCAAAGCCTCAGCAAATTTACCAGCCAAAAATCCTTTATGAAAGAATTACTGAAAGACGTACTCCCACAAGATGAAAAAATAGAAAAAGGAAGAAAATACGGGATTCAAGAAAAAATGGTAAGCATACAAATATGTAGAGCTTATGTATAAAGTATAAGTGATAGTAAAGGTATTTGAAGGTTAAATGAATTTTTAAGAAATAATTCCTTAAAAGTGAAAGTATGACATTAAAAGTAATGATTTGAAGCTTTTTTTTAATGGATGGTGTTGGATGCTTGGGAGAGGTGAGAAAGAGTTAAGAGTTGTTTGATGGGAGATAGTGTGAGGTATGAATCAGGTATTCATTCTAGACACTGATAGAAAAATTAATTTATATGTTGAATATTTAAAGGTAAACACTAGAACAATGGCTTTTAAATCATTAAAGGGAAAAATAGAAACAAAGAATTGAATGAATTTAACTAAAAGCCTTCATGCAATAGGAACAAGAACAAAATTTCAAGCAGAAATAATTAGGTTCAATTTTCAATGAATAAAGCACTCCTGCTACAGCTTCTTCGTTAGTAATCAGGGAAATGCAAATACAACTAGTTTATTAAAGCCGAGAGATTGTTGATTAATGTTAATAGATAGCTTTTATCCATTCCCTGTAAAAAGGTTTTTGTTTCTTATAACATACTGGAGTATGTTCCCATGTACTTGATTCATTAAGAATCACTTTATCTTGTTTTCTGAGTATTTTTCATAATCCCAATCTTAAAAGGTAATTCCTTTGATATACTGTAGAGATTCTCTTTCTCTGTCTCTCTTTCTTTCTTTTTTTTCTTTGAGTTGATTTTTGTGTATGGTGTAAGATCGTCGTCTAGGTTCATCCTTTTGCATGTGACTGTCCAGTTTTCCCAGCACCATTTATTAAAAGACTATCCTTTCCCTATTATATGTTCTCGGCTCCTTTGTTGTAAATTAATTGATCATCTATATGCAGGTTTATATCTGGGCTCCATTCTGTTCCATTGATATATGTGTCTGTTTTTTATGCCAGTACCATACTGTTTTGATTACCATAGCTTTGCAATATAGTTTGAAAGCGGGAAGCGTGATACCTCCCGTTTTGTTGTTCTTTCTCAAGGTTTCTTTGGCTATTCAGGGTCTTTTGTGGTTCTAGGCAAATTTTAGGATCATTTGTTCTATTTGTGTGAAAAATGCCATTGGAATTTTGATAGAGCTTGCACTGAATCTGTGGACTGCTTTGAGGGTAATATGGACTTTTTAACAATATCAGTTCTTCCAATCCATGAGCAGGGAATATCTTTCCTTTTATTTGTGTCTTCTGAAGTCCACATTCTTCAGCTGGTATGTTTGACAGTTTCTAAAAACAACACCAATTCCCCTGCCCTTCCAACATTTTCCAGTGTAACCTCTGTGCAAAATGAGAATCTAGAATTAGAAGATACACTTGGATCAATAAATTCTTTATTTAAGAATCAGCATTTAATCTCAGAAATTAGCTGTTCTCCAGAGATTTACACAGATGAGGGCCCAGTCCTGGAGGGTCTGGGAAGGTTAAAAACAAATAGCAATCAACCGGCCCTAAATGGAGAAAAGTCCTTCCTCACAGAGGGGCGGTCAGTGACAAGCTCAGGGGCCAGCAGAGGGTTTCAAGAAATATTAGGAAACATCATTTGTGTTGCAGACATTGTCTGAAGCTCGGCCTCCGTGTCACCCTAATTTAACCCTCAACAATCTGAGGTAATGCTGTCATCAGACTCGTTTGAGAGAGAAAATGAAGGTCCAGGAGCAAACGTGGCAGCTGGATCTGACCAACACAGTCTTGAATTGAGCCTGTTCTCTTAAACAAAACGCGTTTCCTTTTGAATAACATGGCTAGAGTTTGAACTGCAAGTGGGACCTTTGAAAGATATTAAATTTGCTTTTGTCTTATTTAGGGGAAAGGTAAATGTGAGTTTTAGGGCTTTTTTTTTGTAATCTTAAAGTTAGATAGTGGGTCTGTTTACCGTAGGGTCATGTGTATAAGCAGATATTCACTAGTACAAGTCATTATCGACAGGCAGTCGTGCACAGAACAGAGTGTTGGGGAAACAGAAGGAACACAGTAGACGTTATGACCTCATGGAAACTTGTTGCAGGTACTACACAAGAAATTGCAGGTGTGACAGGGTAACCATAGGGGAAACTTGGCCCGTTTAGGGACCCAGGCCTTCAAAAACAATTAATATTTAAACAATTTTCTAGATATATACTAATTGTCAAAATGGCAGTGATAGTAAATTTAAGAGGGAAAGCTTTAATTCCTTTAAAAGACATATGATTTAAAGAAATAACTTTTTTTTTTTTTTAAACTTTCAGGATGAAACTCTAATACACTCACAGTATGGAGCTGGGGGAACAACCAGTGATGGCCTGAGCTTTCTATTTATTAAAGAGGTGAAGGTCGCTGAGCCAGAGGAGGTGGAGAACTTAGAGACTCAGGAGCAACAGTCTTCAGAGTGGAAGGAAAAAGAGACCCTCCACAAGGAAGGAGCCTCAGAGCTGGAAAAGGAGGGAGAAGGGGCCTCAGAGCTGGAGGAGGAGGCTGAAGGGGCCTCAAACCTGGAGGAGGAGAGTGAAGGGGCCTCAGACCTGGAGGAGGAGAGTGAAGGGGCCTCAGACCTGGGGGAGGAGAGAGAAGGGGCCTCAGAGCTGGGGGAGGAGGGAGAAGGGGCCTCAGTATTATGTGAGGAACAGGACTCAAACTTTCAGCATCATACTGTGGTAAATCCAAAGCTTAGAGTTGAAGAAATAGCCAGTGATGACTTGAAGGTTCCTTTAATTAAAGAGGTAGGAGATTCTGAGCCAGAGGAGAAAGAGGGCTCAGAGTGGGAAATGGACATGTTCTTAACATGGGAGGAAGGAAAGGAGTCCGAAGCAGAAAAGGTAAAGACTGCCTCCCAGATTGAGAAAAAAGGGGCCTCACACACACTTAAGGAAACTGCCTTTAGTTATTTGGCTTCGGACTCTAAGAAGGAAAAGTTGACAAAACATCAGATGGTACAAAAAACCCAGAACAAAGAAACAGCTATGCCCAGAAATCAAGGAACTGGGACACTCTGTCCAAGCTTATGTTTGGCCTCTCCCTCCAAATCAGTAGAGATAAGTTCTGATAAGCAGAAAAAACATGCGTGTACAAATTTGAGTACTCCATCAGGAATTACCAAACTTTTAAGGAAAACTGAGAAAGAGAGACACAGTACTCTGCAAACAGAAGAGCTAACATCTAAAGAACCAGACTTAATACAAGGAACAGAAGAAAATTTTAGAACAAGTGTAATTAATGTCTTCAGAGAGATACAAGAAGAGATTGGAAATATTAAAAATTGCCATCCAGAAGTCTTGGAAATAAACTCAGTAGATGCTCTGAGAAGCAGAATAGACGTACTTGAAGAGAGAATGAATAATCTGGAAGATCGAATAGAAGAGTTCTCTAAGGATACGATGGAAATGGCCAAGTGGGTAATAAAGAAAGAAAGATTAAGATACATGGAGGATAGATCGAGAAGCTGCAACATCCGTTTGATAGGAATTCCAGAAAAACATAATCAGGGGAATAGAGCAGAGGATATAATTAAGGAAATGATCCAAGAAAACTTTCCAGAGCTAAAGAAAGAGTCACGTCTTGAGATTGCCTGTGCTTACCGAGTACCCAGTAAGATTGATAAGCAGAGACTCACTCCTAGACACATCTTGGTGAGATTTTGGAATTTCGGTGATAGAGAGAAAGTCATGATGGCTGCCAGAGAGAAAAAAGAGGTAACCTACAGAGGAAAACGGATCAGACTGACAGCAGACTTATCACTAGACACGCTGGACGCTAGGAGTAAATGGAGGAATATCATAAGGGTTCTGCAGTCAAAAGGCTTCAACCCAAGAATCCTATACCCAGCCATACTGGCATTTGATTTTGAGGGTAAAGCAAAGGCATTTTTTGATGTCAAAGAATTCAGAAAGTTTGCTTTTTGCACACCCTCTTTGAAAGAATTGCTGGAGGATATAATCTAGCAATCCAGGGTGACTATAATAAACACGTGCACCGTATATATTTTCCTTCCACACCAAAAATCCACAAGGAAAACTGGAAAATAAAATGCTGCATTTCTCCCCAGAAGGATGGACAGCTAACAGTATGCTTGGGGCTAAGAGGGAAGGGAGGGTTAAGATAGTACCTGGGTGTTGGTAAATTTAAGGGGTATCAAAAAATTGCATGGTAACCATCCTAGCTTGTGTAGGAGTAAACTTTCTAAACTACTGGGGTGAGGGAGGGAATCCATGAGTGTAACCATGGACAGTAATAGAAAAGTGTAGGGGAAAGTAATAGAAAAGCACAGGAAAAAGATGGCTGGATAAATTAAATAGAAGAAAAAGCAAAAGTTGAATTCTCATCAAGAGAAGAATATTTAATTTTATCATTTATCATGATGTGAATCTAGAATCTTTATATTAAACCTTTTTCCTTTGTGCTTCATTTGCTTATTGTTTTTCTGTCTTGTATTTTCTAAAGTATTTGTCATTATAGTTAATAATTTTTGCGTTTTGTGGCATAAACCCATCCAATGGAGACATCTAGTGTCTTCCCTAATGTAGTGTGTTCTCAGTTAATTACCTAAGAATGAAATGAACTGACTTGGAGTATATAGATAACCAAGAAGAAATGAAGGAGGGGAGAATGATAGAACCATTTTATGGTTTTTGCTACAAGTGCTCATTTAGTGTATTCAACTTATAAAAAATAAGTATACATAATCTCTGCACGACATTTGAAACCAGCCTCTCCTGTTCTCAGTTCAGTCCTTCCAACCCTGGCCTTCAAGGACCTTCTGTGGGGCTGGCCTGGTGGCGCAACGGTTAAGTTCGCATGTTCCACTTGGCAGCCTGGGGTTCGCTGGTTCAGATCCCAAGTGTGGACATGGCACTGCTTGGCAAGCCATGCTGTGGTAGGCGTCCCACATATAAAGTAGAGGAAGATGGGCGTGGATGTTAGCTGAGGGCCAGTCTTCCTCAGCAAAAAGAGGAGGATTGGCAGCAGTTAGCTCAGGGCTACTCTTCCTCAAAAAAAAAAAAAA